ATTCCCACCAAAACTCTCGAATTCAGAAATTTTAGAAGATGCCTGCATGAATCGATCTACTTTCTCGAAAAAATTCTCTACAACAGCGGAATGGTTTCCCGCCTGTGTTGTTCGAAATATTTCGCTTAAAAGATTTAGTTTTTGTAAACCAAAAACTCACATTATTACGAACTAACGACTATCTTTACACGATAGTATTGCACCAGTTTATAGTGTATGTGGATATACGATGTCCAAACCGCGTATATCCAATCAGCAAAGTAGCCTCGTGTGCTATCCCGCACACGAACTATTTTGATGTTGTTTACTTTCCTCGATGTAATTCAAGCATCGAGTATCGATCGAATGCCGGCTAAATTTTGAAATTGCTGCGAATCAGCGCAAGGATTTGTTGTACCCTTAAGCTGTAAATAATAATACAATAATATTTGAAGCATTTTTGACTGTAAATCTGTTTACTTACCACTGAGAGATGAAGGCTCACTGAGATAATTTAGTTTCCGTAAATTCCCGCCAAATCTTCGCGCCATAATGGTCRCAATTCGGTTAAGACTTCGGTACAAGTGTGCATTCTTCGAATTTTTTTTTTCAGTGCTGTTGTTTAGGGCACCTCTGGCAAAGTTTTGTCTTAAACGCAACTCTATGAAAGTGCAGGATCGCTTAAACCATCTACAGTGTGCTTGAACGTCGAAACATTTGTTTAGACAATCAATGTTGCCACTAATGGTCTCAAAATCTTGATGATTTTGCATTTCGCCAGGAGACCACCAAAACATCAAAAAATCAGTGTTGTGATCACTTCACCATGTAATTTTTGTTTGAGTTGTTCCAAATTTCTCTAAACTAAGAGAAGAATATACGCGAATCTTGGCGCGCAATCCTTAACCGACGCGGCACATGACATATAATAGACTGTTTTTTAACAGTGGAAGAAATAAATTCGCTCAATTTAACTCCCTTTCAACAAATAAAAGGCAAGATTGGTATTCACAGAAATAAAATTTTATTTCAAATATAGTTTTGATAAAAATGAATCGTTCTTTCATAATGTTCGAAAATTCTAAAATGCCAGTGACCCTATCTCACGTGTTTCCAAATCCTTGTTGATTGAAATGTCGCTCACTTGTCAATTGTTGATAAGATAGCATTATACTAACAGCATGGCATGCTTTACTTTGGTGAATTTTATTTTAATTTACGTTTATCATTCAATTCTATTTGATGAGTATCATGTTTTGACAAAAATTTTGCCCTGAGATCAAGAGGCTACGTGGGCAACTTACACTAAAGGACCAAAAGCTATTTTGGCGTTTTAGTTCGTCTCTTAATGATCAGGAGATCTTATTTACATGGCATGTTGAAAATGAACAAATAGAATACAGAGTAGTCTCCTAGACTAAATACAAAACAGTTTGAGTTGTTACAAATTTCTCCAAACTATGATAAGAGCATACGCGAATCTTGGCGCGCAATCTTGAGCCGACGCGAAACATAACATGTTGAAAATAGACTTTTTTTTTGTACAGTGGAAGAACAACAATTTAATTCGCTCAATTTAACTCCCTTACAACAAATAAAATGCAAGATTGATATTCACAGAACTAACAGTTTAGTATTTCAAATATACTACTACCACAGTATCGTATGGTCTATTAAGAAGGCTTACAATTGAACTCTTAGTCTCATTTGGACTCATTTGGGCACGTTGAGTTATCCTGAGTTGTTGGCGGCCAAAACTGAACACAAGACGTCGCGTTTATTTGTTRATTTACCTCAAATTAACTTTTTGCTTATAGCCAATAAATTGTCGTACTTGTATACTTTGTAAACAAACTCGTTTTACSCTTTCAGTATACAAAAGTCATCTTTGTTCTTGAAGATCATAAGTCTGATTATCGTCCATTATTCAGCATTTTATCGCATAAAGATAAATACATGAGAGTTTTGTCACTTACATCTCAAATGTACAAAATTGTAATTCACGTAGTTAGCCGGTATAAGTTTTTAAGGAATTTTTGCCATAATTTAATGTGCATTAAAATGGCGGGAAGATTCTCTCATAAAACGAATTTTCTGGAAACGTCTTTTACAAAGACTTGAGTTTGGAGAAACCTACAGTTTTCTTAGCTTATTTAGCTTTTCCTTTGGACAACCAACAACATAGCGAGTTTTGATTACTATAGTAATAAACAACGTTTTTTGACTAAACTTGCGCTGGTCCTTCATTTTTTATATATATTCTTGGAGGAGCGTACTTTCATGTACTTCGTGTTGTTTTTTTTTTACCTTCAGCTTCTTACATTTAAAATACAAGGTTGKTTTTATACAGATATTGCAATGTTCGAATGTTCGAAATGTTTGTAAACTGAGTAGCCCGTGTAGTTTTTGCTTAGGTCCTGTAGACACTGAACCAGGTATCTTGACAATGGGGCAGTTGTACGAATTATGGATAATAGATTAAGCTCCACAGCAGACACTGCATCAAGTTGTCTACTTTCTTAAAAAGGTTACACTGCGTCAGATTGTGAATTAGTTATCTTTACCGCAATCTCTCTAGTGACCACTATTTTTAGTGCTTTGGCCACTACTATCTAAGTAGTGCTTCGGCGATACAATAGCGGTAGTCATCTATGTCACTCTGAAAACAAAAAAAACATATTTGATCGCATGATGGACATAAACATTTGTTTAATTGAAATCTCAAATATTACCACGTTGAAGTCAACAGGTAGATCCATCATTAAGCACTCAGCAATCTAAACGCAACATTTGATTTTTAATTGAATGTCTGATAAACCAGATTCRGTTTGTATCACCTTAAGACAATATACTCCACAGCTGACTCCATCTTTTTGGATGGGATGACCTGTCTTCGTGGTAACCCATGGACCATCTAGTTGSCGTTTGTCGAGAAACAACCTAGCATTTTTGCATTGGTTAACTAAAAATCATCTCATTTTATTATATTTTTTTTCGTTACTCACCGGACAYTTTYGAAAAATTTGGTGTCATGTTCCCATTTCCCTAACGGGTCAATAAGACTGATTGTCTTATTCTCAATATCCACAACCTGTATAAGATGATGATCTTTTAAGCTGTTCAGTAGTTATTTAATTGTTACAATTTCTCGAYTCGACTCAGTCTACTAGACTCACCCCAAGTCTCCAGTGGTTTTCCATGCCGAACTGGCCAGGGAATAAAATTTTTCGGTATTTTTTAATGTTAAGCTAGAAAGGGAACAAACAGTCTTTTGTAATTAGTTGTTTCCRGGATTATGTTAAATTAAGATTTATTGACTYTTTTGTATTACCTGAGATCGCCATTTTTTGTTCTCTTTAATGAGATCGTAAAAGYGAGAGTTTGCAGTGACCACACGCTTTCCCTTTGAGGAATATTTTAACAGTTAGTCTGAATTGTATTCCCAATTTAAGTATTATACAATCCATTTTTCTTACTAATTTATTGGCTCTTTTTTCTAGAATCTGTATGTACATGTCCATAACCTGAATAATACAAAAACAGTTATTTTTTAATAACAGTCAGATAAAAGAGTCCTTACACAGCATGTACTGACCTCGTCATTGACAAAGCCCGGCTCCCAATGAACTCTATCCATCAGAGTCACCATCAACGCCTCATCATTTTTGGTCATTTCTTTCTGCAATGTTTTTAGGGATTTCCAAGATAGACATCCCACRGGACGATGAGGCGGATTGCTCTCAGACCAAACTTTCTCTACCTATGAATTTTCGGAAATTTGAGGTTAAAACTGTAATCAAATTTCGAACGACTTAAAACTGGAGCAGTTGTCTTAAAGATAGGGCCGAAATTAAACATACTTACTTTACATTTCTTTTCAAGCAGTTTCAGCTTTTCCTTGCAGTGAAGGAACCGCTCTTGGCTGACATTAAATATCAACGTTCCAGAATTTGAGCGTTTTTGTTTTGGGATGTGCYCAAATATCTGGTGTCGATATATCTCTTCCACCACCTCCTCCTTTGGCCATTCAAAAGTGCCAYGCTTTRTATCTTCTTCCAAAAAAGAAACAGACAGAACATTGCCCTTTGTCTCATCTACAATTTTACCAACAAAAAACAATGGGCTGTCTGTATAAGCAACTGCGACAAAGTTTTCCTGTAGAATGAAAAGGGTGCGTTCAGCCAGGGATCACAGACCCTTATATGGAGCACTATAAACTTATGCCTCGTATTCCTGTACCTCTGATGGATGATCTGTCGCTGTGGATTCGGTGCACTTCGCTTTCTTTACAGCAGTCTACAAAAAAAATATTTTCAATTTATTTTTTAGCATATAAATTCAAGCTTAATTAGTTAAACTTACCGTGTCAGGACTTATACCGAATTGCTTTCTTTTTTTCGCAGGGCTTACTTTTATTGACTAAAAAAATCCGGGTAGAGAAGATGAATAAAAATGTCACTAGGAAAATTATATACATGTATTTATTATGCGGTTTTTAAGATAGACTAACCAAACTAACATCGTGTTAACATTGTGCCATTTCAAAGTGGAAAACGCCATGTCAAAATGGAAAATCCTGATAAAGAGACAGTCCGGGGACTATCTCGGGACTATCTCGGGTTGTCAAYCAATCAGAAGAAGCCATTTGATAGACTCTGTATTTATCAGGGACTGTATCCGAATATTGACCAATCACAACTAATCATATCAAATTACAAAGATACAGTCTCTTCTTTTTAGCCAATCACAACAAAGTCATCTGGACTCTATTTGTCATCTCGTGTCTATGTATGTCTCGATCTTCAATCTAAAATGCCACGAGAAACTAAGCAAAGTTATCACACATCGGAAAGCATTTATATTTTCAGATTATTGTTTGTAAATGGAAAGGACTGTGAGATATGAAAAGAAAATCATCGAAGTTTAAATGGGTATATTAACGAGCGTAGAAATGCCAATTCCAGTGGCAGAAAACTTAAAATCAAACGGTCAAAAAAAAACGATGGTTCATTTATATCTTTAATGTTACAAATCGTATACAAATTTTATGTAGATCGATGTACATGTATAAGATGCGACCATAAGCTCAAATGTACGAATTATATGGTCCTTGTGGTGAACTGTAGATCGCGTCCACACGAATCAACGTCTTCTTTGAACTCAAAGATTACAATTCTTTGCCGGGTATACGTCCCAAACAATTCTGTGTTTCAAGACTTAATAATATCAGTTATTTTTTTCTGGTTCGCTTTTGGGTCAACATCGCGGCAAAATGAACACGATCGTAAAATACAAGAATCATCTCCCGAAATTTCTGCAAAGAATATGCGTTGCTCACAATACGGGGAAAATATACTGTAGCTTGCTTCACATTTCAAATTCTCCGTTTGTTTCTAACCTCCAGAATCGAGTTGTAAAAGCAACTTATAATCATCTTGGAAAAGAAGAAAAAGCATTTTATATTCCATCGTGTCTCGAAAGATCGGCTTTATTATGCTAATTTGCTGAGACTGTCTCGTAATTTTAGCCAATCACGTAAGAGCACACTTGTCAACACCGTGTGGAATGTTGACAAGGTTACTGTCAGAATTTTTCATTTTGTGAAACCTCAGATAAAAATATGGATTAACAGTAATTTTTAATACTGGACGGCATAGACCGAACAGTAATTTATATCTTATCACCTGATCGGTGTTCAAGATGCATTCTGCCGCAAGCCTCCTTTCTTATTACGTCGTATTAGAGCAGGGTAATTAAAGTTCATTCAGTTACAGTAATGAGTGTTACTCTAAAAGAAGTTTCGATTGCTTTTAAATCTCTGCTCATTGGTAGTGAACGCAAACGTTCTCAATAACCGCCATGCTAAGCTTGCGAAAGTATGAAGAAGCCGTTATCAGATCGTGTCTCGTAAGATCAGACTGTCTCTTACTTTTGGCCAATCAAGTAAGAGCACACTTGTCAACGCTAAGAATGTTTACAAGATTGCCCAGAAACATCATATCAAGCTTTGAGTAACCCAGCCCAGGTCAGAACAGAGCTACATGTCTTTCTTAAATAAAAATTTTTTGTCCTCAAGAATTTTCTCGGCTACAACGTAGCGATACTCTTCTATGTCATCCTGAAAAGTAAAAGTACGTATTGTTAAAATTATATACGCAGAAAGAAAAATAATTCATTTTCAAAATTTGGATTTATTTGTCTTATTTGAACATGGCTTACTGACAGCTAACCTGAGTAAACTCCATGGTAGATGACCGCAGCATTATTTCCTCTGCCATCTATAAGCACACTGATATCAGATAGATTGCTTTCAATCAAATTTCAAGACGCAGGACTGAAATATTACCTTCAATACGTACATGCCACAGCTTACGCCATCACTTTGTAATGGGTGACGAATACGCTTTGCGCGCCATTCCCTGTCTAAGCCCCTCTGTATGAGGAACTTCCTACAAAATCAGAGAATAAAATGAGCATATTATGTAGTGATGTTTTGGATCAATGACGTACCTTAGGTTTTCAAAATGGGCGCGGTTGGAATGCCCTTTTTCACCCAAAGGATCCAATATGGACAATGTTGAATCCTTCAAGTCAACAACCTAATAATATTTGTAAAACAGTCTTACTGCGGTGTATTCCTTTTATGTGTGAAATAATTTGCTAACAAATTTGCTATGGTTTCATATAAATATATTAACTACAAACCCCTAGACTCCAGTGATTGGGAGAAAATTGGTTTGCGAAAACCAATTTTTCAAAATTGTTCAAATCCACCTATAAAACAAAAAACGGACAACCAATCAAAAATGCAAATCTTTTTTCAAACCAGACTTCATTATTTAACAATATGGAATAGTGAATTGTTATCATAAACTGCGGATATTTCATGCGGTTTGTTTTAATACCTTTTTCTTCCACGAATTTCCCTTTAATATAATCATGTAGAACTTTGTGTTAGCGATTATGATTCTTTTCCCCTAAAATAGCAAAATATTCTCTGTTACTCTCGACTATCACTTTCTGCGTATCAACCGCGAATTGCAATTAAATGTAGTTAATTTTGCCATTTTCTTCTTTAAAAGTGGGTGAATGAAACTTACCAGCTTGACTGCTTTCTTTTCAAGCAATTTCAAATATTCATCAATAATCTAACAATGAGAACAAAGTGGATTTTGAAACAATTTGACATTTTCTCCACAACACATGCAAATGTCACTGATATGCAAATGTGTATGGAATTGACTTATCAGCATATCTTGCGGAGAACTGGCTTTGATTGTTTAGTCGACTATCATGTTCAAGTGGATTTTTGAAGTACTCACTTCATCATTTATATACCCTGGCTCCCAGTCTTTTGGCATTAGAGTCGTCATCAAAGACTGGTGTACTTCAGGCATTTCAAGTTGTATTGTTTTGAAGTCCTTCCAGCACACCAGCCCATCTTTCTGATATGGCGCCTCGAACTGTGGTGACATGACAACAAAGATGGCGGACATGGTCAATCCTGCTGTGCATCTTTTCTATTTTATTGCTTTGTGTTGCATATTTACACGCCTTTGGCGCGAAATTTAAGATTATTGAAATATGGTTTCTATCGCCCAAGATCAGCAATCATACGATGGTCTAAACGTGGTGATACATCATTGTTCATACCAGGTCATGATCCACCGACAGATATCACTATATTTATGGATATTGCTCGTAATCCTGGACCTGATCATATCGATCGACCTTCTATTAATACAATGAATAATTATAACTCACTTGATTTGCCTCGAAAAGCGCTGAACATTTGTCATTATAATGTTTGGTCACTCACAAATAAACTTGATGAGATAAAATTGCTCTTGAACTCCTCTTCAAATTGTACTAATAACAGACCCAACTTTATCCTGGGAATTTCCGAAACTCATCTTAATGACTCTTGGACTGATGCTTCACTTCAAGTGAAAGATTTTACTACTTTTCGCCGGGATCGAGGTGGAGGAGAAGGTGGTGGTGGCCTTTTGGTATACGTTCCATCTCATCTACCGATCACAAGAAATACTAATCTCCAAGTGATTGGGTTAGAGAGCATCAGCCTTCAACTGCAATTTATGAACTCAAAACCTTGTTTAATTACGTTCGTGTACAGACCACCGTCTGCAAATGCAAGTTATTACGATTTGTTGGACTCCTTACTGACAATGATTGACTGCACCAATTATCAATCTGTTATTCTAGGGGACTTTAACATCGATCTATTGGACAATTCAGTCTCTCACAACAGATTTAATCAACTTTTTCAGTCGCTAAATTATGACCAACTGATAACCGAAGTGACGAGGCCCATTTCTAACTCTCTTTTGGATCACATCTACACAAATAGAAAAGGTAATATTCTTAAATCTGGCACTTTGTCTCTATCTTTAAGCGACCATTTGCCTATTTTCATATCTTGGAAATCTAGGCCTATCAAGTTCAAGTCTACTACCCATAATACTATTAGTTTTCGCTCTACTAAAAATCTTAATGTTGACAGTTTATTGTCAGACTTAGATTGTGTTCCATGGAATACATTAGAAATGTTTACTGATGTAAATGAAGCTTTGGAACAATGGTGTTGTCTTTATAACAGCGTTCTTGTCACTCACATGCCATTGAAGACACACAGAGTTAAAAGGCAGTTTCAGCCTGAATGGTTTTCAGACCTAATTAATTCTGCTATTAAACAACGCAATTATCTTCATTCTCGAGCAATTCTTTATAATACTGACTTACTTTGGCGTGAGTACCGCTCAGCACGCAATCGCGTTGTCCACCTAATTAGACAATCTAAGCGTGAATTTTTTCAAGCTTCAATTAGGTCAAACCTTGACAAGCCTAAACATCTGTGGCGAATAATTCGCAATTTAGCTCCAGCAAATTTCTCTAAGCTTCCTTCTCATTTAACTGTTAATGGCATTACATTTAATGACAGTTTTGATATTGCTAACTTATTCAATTCCCACTTTGCTAATATAGCATCATCTGTACATCTTAATTCTGTTAAT